AAACCCCTTATGTAGCTTAATATATATGTATATACAAGCTTATATATGTATATAATGTATGTATAGAAGTTGATGTTGCACTTGCACACCCATGATTTTTTTTTGGCTATATACAGAATTGTAAATAGTTTTATGATTTATGTTTCATTGGATTTGATTCTAATGGAATTTTGATAAGATTTTGGCTTTTTTCATATTCTATTTTTCTTCTTCTTGTTCTCACTAAAGCTATGTGGAGGAGATTGGATTTTCAGTTTGTGATATTTAGAGAGCTGAGAAATTGAGCGGGAAAAGTTCTTCAAGATTTTGCTGTTGGCTTTAAAGGTTCATTTTTTCTCTCTTCTACTGTTTGTTTGGTTTATTTTTGGAAAAAAGAAAATGAAAGAAAGCTTATTTAGTAGTATTAATTGAAGTCAAAAGGGCTGAAGTGAAATTAATTTGATTGTTGATTCAAGTTTTACTATGTTTTGATTATTTCTTCTACCCTTTTTCTTTGGTCTTTAAACTGTTTTCTTTTGCTAATTGCAAGAGTTTTGAGCAAGAAATTAATCAGATGTTAATTGCTTATTGGTGTATTGAGCAAGAAACTGTATATATATATATATTTCGAGCCTATAATCTGAAAAAGATTATAACTTTCTTAATATATATGATGTTTTGAACCTATAATCTGGAAAAAGATTAAATTTTTTACTGGCTTTAGATATTTGATTTGCTTTTTTTGTATTTTCAAACCATGGAATTGATCATGTATTTTAACTTGTTTTCTACATCTATTTCTTTCCCCCATATATTGGGATGTAGTGTCAGATTGTTGGTATATATATGATAATAGTACAAAGAGGTGAAGAGGACTATAAAAAGTTGTATGAAATGGCTTGATATTTTAAATTGGATATCGAAAAGCTACTTGAATTTGACGCCTGCACTTCGTCTTATACAGGAATTTGCTTATCTGTAGTCGTTTTGCAGCAAATTGTCATTATTTAAACATTAGGACTGCTTTCATTGAGGATCAGTCGATTTTCTTGTCTTATGGACAATCAGTGTTATCAAAGGCGAAAAGTGCAAAAAAGCTCTAAATGTATGTTGGGGCTTTAAGCGCAAAACGCAAATGAAGCATGGGCTTTAATGAAGAAAGGCACAAATCGAGAAAAATTACAAATATGTATGTGTATTACGAGACTAATATCTATAAGCATGAATACCAAATATATGATCGAAGAAATAGAAGAAAATTTATGATAGAGTGAAATATCGATTGCTTAGTGTCGCATCTTCAGGATTAAGCTCATTGGCAAGAAAAAGTATGTCTTAGAGCATTGATGACGACACTGAAGCGCCCGCTAAGTGAGGCGAGTCGCTCAACATGTTTTGAGCCTCGCTTCAGGGTTTGAGTGCGCTTTAAGCGCGCCTTTGATAACACTGTGGACAATCCATTTTCTGTATGGAAGTTTTTCATGTCAACAATAACTGACTTGTGTTTTTTAAACCTCAGTCTATACACAATGAATTCTTCAACATACACCCACTTCGTCGCCTCAAGAAGGATGGGTATATGCGATCCGATCCATCAACTTGGAATGTGGGATGATTTCAATGGTAGTTTCCCAAGTACATCGGCAACCATGATTTTAGAAGTTGATAAATGCCTAGAGGACCAGATACCAATTATGGAGAAAAGACTAGAAAACGAGGTATGTTCTTTTTAGCTTTTCTCGTTTTAATATCTTTCACAGCTTTCTGTGTTTTAGCTTTATTGATAAAGAAAAAAGAACTTTATCTGTTTTAGTTACGCAGCAGATCGTACTGATTAATATAGTTAATGTTTCTAGACAGAAGACACTTCGCATGGAACAGTAGGGACTTCTAACAGATATGAACCAGAAACAAGTAAACCCGTCGAGAAGGTATAGATATGTTCTTGTTCTTATAGCCTTGTATCTAGAATAGTGATCTTAAAATGAAGGTTTTGTTCATTAGGTCATTCTCATGAATTGAAAAGCCACTTTTTGGTTGGCAAGAACATCTGTTCATGTGTGCTAGGAGAGTGTTATATGTTTGTTGTCGCTTTTCTGATAGATAATTTCCTTCATTCATGTTTTTCGAGAAGAAGATAAACAAGCATTTAACATTCTGAAGCATAATGAGATGTGCAGTTTCGATTGATTCGTATTTTCAACTGTTTAGTTCCCTTATAGTAAAAAAACAGAATTAGGGCCACCTATACGTGCTAAGCTTTAGATGCCTGCATTTACTGCCTCCTATGTGAATTATTATTGGAGAAATTTGAGGTATGAGTTTGTCAATAGGATGAAGTGTCCTAAGCCTAGCAAGACTGAATAGTTAATTCTATTTGTGGTAAAAGGTCTCCGATTTAGGAACGAAAAACATGTAAAATAATTTTAGAAGAAAGGTACAGGAGATGAAGGGAATATCAAATGCGAATTGACAAATTTTGTAGCGGAGGTTCCTTATTTTCAATGAAACGGTGAAGAGTATCGTCAATATATATATATATGTTTTTCTGCTTTCTTGCTTTCAGGCAAGAACTTTTGCTTAAAATCTTTAAGTGCCAAGTTAATCAATTGCGTGTTTTTCTTAATGTTCTTTTTCATTATTCTTTTCTTGGCAATGAGACCTCAAAAAGTATAAAATCCTTGTAGCAATAAGATTTATGTCCATACCCGATATACAGGTACTTAGACGTCTTGCACAAAACCGTGAGGCTGCTCGTAAAAGCCGTTTGCGGAAGAAGGTATTCCTTGAGTTCTGCTAATTATTCTGCAACGTTGCTACTCAACCTTACTTTTCCGTATTAAACAAGACAATTTGGTACTCCGGTCGCGTCATTGATTTTCCAAGTTTGTGTTACTTTTAGGCCTATGTTCAGCAGTTAGAAAATAGTAAATTGAAGCTGATTCAATTGGAACAAGAATTAGAACGCGCCAGAAAACAGGTAAAGGGACAATATTTATTCTTATTTATGAAGCTGAGATCTTTTAGCTGATTATTGCGATGAATATTTTACCTTTTAGGGTGAAAGAAATCTAACAAATCAACTAACATTTTACAACAGGGTCTGTATGCAGGTGGTGGTTTAGATGCTAGCCAGCTAAGTTACTCTGGAACCGCTAGCTCAGGTTTGTCGGTTCACACTGTATTGTCATGTACTTAATCAAACTTCATTCTCAGATCTTTTTCGGAGTAATTAGATTATGCTTGGATTTGGAAAGAATTCAGATGAGAGCTTTACCTTAGTTTCATTATAGAGTACATAGTGAAACAAGCTTCTGCATAATTTCGTTTGCTGCTTACTTTTCCTATAATATTAAGATCACTGTATCACCCTAAAATGCCAATCATTGGATCTCTTGTTATTGTAGTCTCTTGTTATTAGAACATTAACGGGGTCACTCTTATCCTTATTCATTACCTTCCAATTCATCATATATATTTATTCTACTTATCAAGTATTTCTGGTCGCTGCTTCCTTCTCGGTATCTGTCATTCTTCTTAATCACTAAGCAAACTAGGAAACGTAATGAAGAATAGCTGCTTAAAAACAACTACGATTGCAGTGGTAAGACATTAATAATGTGTGTCAGATAATACCAAAACGAGAGCAATTTGCAGTTCCTATGATTTCATCATTTCTGGCAAAACTATTAATACCATTGTGCCTAATTTTTTAGATTATTTGATATGCTAGAGTTCACCTCAATTGTCCATTAAAATACAAAATTAGTAAAATATTTAACATATTTCCTTTTCTTTTCCATACATTGGAGTATGGAGTGTTGTTTGTTTCCCTTCTTTGGACATTCCCTAACTTCTTGAGTCCACAGGAACTGCTGCATTTGATATGGAGTATGGTCACTGGGTGGAAGAACAGACTAGGCAAACAAATGAGTTACGGAGTGCTTTGCATTCTCAAATTGGTGAAGCGGAATTACGCATTATTGTTGATGGTTATCTAAGCCACTACTTTGATCTCTTTCGCATGAAAGCTACAGCTGCTAAAGCTGATGTCCTCTATATCATGTCTGGCATGTGGAAGACATCAGCTGAGCGCTTTTTCATGTGGATTGGGGGGTTTCGGCCATCCGAGCTTCTAAAGGTAATGCATGCCTCAGTATGAATTCCCTACTGACGCTCGTTATCGAGTCCATGTGTCTATTGTCTTTGTCATTCAGTTGAATTCATCACCAAAGCCAAACATATGTTACTTCTTTCCTTAAGCTCGTGAATAGTCGTCTTTTTTCTTCTTCTTTGTCTTCGATTAAGAAAGGTGCTTAATGCAAGATTTTCTGTTAACCTACAGGTTCTCACACCACATCTTGAGCTGTTGACAGAACAACAACTTCGGGAGGTTTGTAACCTGACCCAATCATGTCAGCAAGCAGAAGACGCCTTGTCACAAGGAATGGTAAAACTCCACCAGATTCTTGCCGAGGCTGTTGCAGCTGGCCGACTAGGCGAAGGAAATTACACTCTCCCGCAGATGGGGCCAGCCATCGAAAAGTTGGAAGCTCTTGTTAGGTTCGTAAATCAGGTAGTATCTCATATTGGATTTTCATTCCTTTCAATAGAACTCCTACTAAAACTTCCATTTACGTGTTTTTGTGGTGTGCTAATACTCAGTTTATTCTTTGGACGTCTGTGATTCGGATACTCGATTTGTTCTCCTAACTCATCTCTGTTGCCTTTCTGGAAACAGGCAGATCATCTACGCCAAGAAACCCTCCAACAGATGTCCCGCATCCTTAATACGTACCAAGCAGCTCAGGGCTTACTTGCCTTAGGGGAGTACTTTGAACGACTTCGTGTTTTAAGCTCACAATGGGCTACTCGTCTACGTGAACCTACCTAATGAAGCACAAGAAGATCCCCTGTATATTACTCGAGGAGTTTTGCCTTCAGAAGTCGATGCTGTGTAAGCTAAATCTGCCACTTGTTTATGTCAATAAAACTCTCAACATGAACATAGAACATTATATCAGCTGCTGCCAGTTCTGAAGCTCCTCCTCCTAATTGATTATTTTGTACATATCTTCCGCGGTGCTACAACATGGAATTTCCCAATTGCATTTTTCTTTTTAGTCACATTGGTTTGGCTACTGTAAACCAAAAGGTCTGTAGAAGATCTCAAATTACTTGTCTAGTGTCTGTGCGATGCTCAGATAAAGTTTTTATATTTTCCCTCTGCATTCAAGAGTCTATTATCGCAGTATATTACCGAGCAACTTTTGAAGGATTTGGAGTTGAGAAATTGCTATAAATAACATCGACAGAACTATGTCGCGGCCAATATCATGTTGTGATTTCTCATAAGAATTATGGTTCTAGAGATTTGCATCTAATATTTACTTTTACAGGTTATGGACCAGAAGACCGTTGCTCACTTGGTATCTAAACCTATATAATCAGTGGCGGAGCCACATAGGCTCAAGGGCAGATGCAAATTCAGGATTCGAATGTTATGGTTTGGGATTTGAACTCTATTATTTGTACTTATTTACTGGATTTTAAACACACATGCAAGATCCGAGCCAAAAACTACAAGGCGTGGATGAACCCAGAAGTTATACGCTAGATCGGCTCCTGCTCAAGGGTGGTCAAGTTGAACGTCATTCGTCGGAAAATTATAGTGTGTTATATAAGTCAGATATCATGTGTGGAATCTTGAGCACACTTAGTGAAATTCTAGGCTTCATCATTGAGCTATATTCATTCACTTCATGTTTGTGGTGAATGGATTTTACCATCTTGCTATTTCTGGCAGGGTCTTGAGAACTTAAATGGGATTTTTACACAAATAGCCAGATGGATTTGTTGTTTGCTTTTTCAGCCGGTATATTAATTACACACGGTTATATATGTATATTATACATGGATTATACATATATTAGATACCCGGCTATTTTTAGTTTAAGCGGTTGAGTAACTATTTAGGTTAATTCTTTAACCTAAATCTCAACAGTTGCCATGAAATCTGGATATTAATAAAAGAGTGTGATAAGTCAGAAGTGCTATCTTTTTAAGCTAAGATTATACAATTCACAGGCCAAACTTGATTAGGGCGAGATAAAGGGGTATCTCTTGATTTGAGTCAAATTGTTCAGTCGGAAAATGACACTGTTTAGCCGCTCTCAAAATAATAGCCGAAAAATGTATAATTTTTTTGTATATTTTTATATATACATTTTGTATGTTATATACAAAATTATATAAATTTTATACACTTTTTCGGCTACCAAATGTAAATAATTTCTGGCAAACACTAGGAATTAAGTGGTGTTAGGGTAAACACCCGGTGCGGGTAAGTTTTTACCGTATGCGCACAATTGACATTGACGGTTGATTTTCTTCATCAAAATTCTGACTTAAATGAATCCTCAAAAGTATCAAGAGCAAAGATTAGAAAAATAATATATAGGTAACTTCGTCGTCAAATATTTTGTTAAGAAAATGAACTTTGTGCGTAGTTTAATTTGAAAAGCTAACGGAAGTGGTCGGAATTTTCTAAAACTATACGAGAGTATGGACTATACACTTACTAATATGATATTTTTATCTCTGTTCACATTTAGAATTGGTCATCTGAATCGAAGAGCAACATAATATGGGTGGTCTAGGTTGAATAGGCCTATATTATGAATGATGAGTTACTGTATTAAAGCAATAGGCGTAATTCAACAACAACAACAGCGACCCAGTATAATTCCACTAGTGGGGTCTAGGGAGGGTAATGTGTACGCAGACCTTACCCCTACCCTAAGAGACAGAGAGACTGTTTCCAAGAGACCCTCGGCTCAATAGGCGTAATTCGAACTCAAAATTTAGTTCAATTAACGAGGATGGCTTAAATTCATACATAGTGATATTAACATTATTTTCATGGTAGGTATAGAGAAAAAAAAGGAGTATTATCGCTTTTAGCTTGCGCCAGAAACTATTTACATTTGGTAGCCGAAAAAGTGTATAAGATTTGTATGATTTTTGTATATAACATCCAGAATGTGTGTGTGTATATATATATATAAAATATACAAATTTTATACTTTTTTTGACTATTATTTTTACGGCGGCTATACAGTGTCATTTTTCCGAAAAAAATGCATCTGCCTAGACATGTGTCAATTAATGTACACAAATACGGTGATATGATTAACTAAGGTATGAGGCTATTTTTTGCTTGTAAGGTCATGAAATAGGACCATTTAATTGTGAGTGGTGTGGAGAAAATCTAATTGGCAAAACCTCTTAACTTCTATTGTTAGGTGTAAATGCCATTTCAGTACTGTTTGACAAAATGTCACCAGAAATTGGTACTCCCTACTTATATTTCCGGATAAGAACAAAGTATCATATGAACGGTTCTCACTATTCATTTTTTTGTTTCTTTCCATTCTCAGCTTCTTTTTTAAATTTAAAACCGATTAAAATTTTGAGTTCATGATATGGTATCAAATGGACGTATTGGGCTGAATTTGAGCGGATCAAAAATGATCTAAAGCGAGAAGCTATATTTTTTATTTTCATTTTTATTTTTTTTAGTGATAATAATATGGATTGAGCTTAAAGAATGAAGTAAAAATTTATATTGGAGACTTTAAGTTATTTGAGAGTGAGGTATAATTATTTTTATTATTTGAAGATGAAAATGAGGGTAAGGGAATTGGAGAACCATCTTTTAATAGGCGGGGGAGGAGACTACAGTCAGACTTCTCTATAATAGTATCCCTATATAAAGTCTTCACTATAAAAGCCAAGTTTTTCTTGGTGCTAATTTTTATATTATGTTGTAATAGATGTCCTCTATAACAACACTTTACTATGTGCAGCCAAAAAACATCGAAACGAATGAGGTTGTTATAGAGAGGTTTGAGTGTATTTCACTTTTCTTTCTAAAATCTTTTTCCGTTCTTTCTCTTTCACCATTCATTCCCTTTTTATATTCTTCTCTCATATTTCATATTTCATAATTTTTTTCTTTTTTTGATCTTTTTCTCATTCGGACAAATGAAGATGGACCTGAAAAATTTGTATGGTTGATGAAAAGCCCATACATGCATTTGCATCTATACCAGCTTTTTGTGTCACATTTTAACCTGTGCCCGCTTTGCAAAAAAAATTGCAAGCGTACCCGCTTTTTCGCATAACTTCAGCACACGGGCTTGAAGTAGCAAAGGCAATCATACAAAACTTCAGCATTTTAGTAACCGGGCCTGAGTTCAGCTCTCGAGCTGAAGTTTTTATTTTGTAACTCGCGAACTTCAGCTCTAGAGCTGAAGTTTTATTTTATAAGTTTTTGTTTAGTAACCGGGCTGAAGTTTGCCAGTTATAAAATAAAAACTTCAGCTCTAGAGCTGAAGTTTTTGTCTTCGTAATCGGGAACTTGCCAGTTATAAAATAAAAACTTCAGCTCTAGAGCTGAAGTTTTATTTTATAAGTTTCTATGTTGTAACTAGAAAACTTCAGCTCTAGAGCTGAAGTTTTTGTGTTGTAACTGAAAAACTTCAGCTCTAGACCTGAAGTTTCTATGTTGTAACTAGAAAACTTCAGCTCTAGAGCTGAAGTTTTTGTGTTGTAACTGAAAAACTTCAGCTATAGAGCTGAAGTTTTGTCTAATTAACTTCAGCTCAGGACACCAAGAAGATACAGTTACATCTAATTAACTTTATTGTGATCATCTAATGCATCCGATTTTGCGTTCTGTTTTTATTGCAAAATAAATGCTTTGTTGTTATGTTATTTCGTTTTGGAAAACTTTTCTTTTTAACATTTGAATCTCTGATCGCTGATGATCAGTTTCTCCATTTTCTTTACGGTTTCTATGTTTTATCTATATTACAACATATTTGATTTTCGTGTTGCTGTTTTTTTGTTGGATAAAAATTGGTGCCTTTTTCTGATCAATGGTATGACCATATCATTCCTCAGTCCTCACGGAGTTGTGTTTCCAGACAATGAGAAAATGAAGAAGGAGAAGGGGAGGAGAAAGGGAAGCTGAATTTTTTTAAAAAGTGGGTACGGGTGCAAACAGAAAGACAAAGCGGCTACAGGTTAAAAAGGGGCGCCGAAATAGGGCGCCCCGTGCAATTTTTACAGTTTTTCACCACCATTGTTAGGTAAAAATAGCATGGTCTAGCCAGTTTTCAAACTGATCATTCAAAAATAGCCAGCGTTTACCAAGTCAATGAAAAATAGTTACTATTTTGCTGCAACAGAGACCGGTCCAGCATAATATACTGGAGTTCGGTGCACCTGTGTATGAACTTACAACATATTATGCTGGACCGGTATACTTTGCTGGCTCCAGTATAATATACTGGAGACTGGAGCATCGGTGCTCCAACTCCAGTATATTATGCTGGACCGGTATATTATACTGGAACTCCAGTATATTATGCTGGAGTATTTTTTCGAATTTTGAACAGTGTTTTCGTTCAGATTTATCGTTACATGAAAAGTGGCTAAATTTCGATTACTTTTGAAATTGGGCTATTTTTGAACGACCACTTGTAAATCTGGCTATTTTTGAATTTCTCCCCATTGTTAGCTGCATTTGTTTTATTGAAACCAAATTTTAACTTCGTTATATTATTTGTAAGTCGGGGAGCAGAAGACATTAATTCCATCCATGGCTTCAATCTGGCAAATTCTAGCAATATTCGCGGTGCTACCTTCCCGCCAGGGGCGGAGGTAGAAGTCGATGTATGAGTCTGGTTAAATAACTTTAGTTTAAATTCTGTATTTATATTAATAAATTAACTAAATGTATACAAAATTAAATTCAGAATTCAATTGCTAATAACTTATGTCATTATCCTAGAATTTAGAACCCATAAATTTCAAAATCTATCTTCAACTATGCTTCCTAGTATAACTTGATACGTCTTCCTTTGTGAAGTTTCTTTGAGAATTTCAAACATCAAATTCATAGTAGTGAATCTTTCTTTATATATAGTATTATATTTATACTCGATATACATTTACTCATACATCTGATTAAAAAATTTAATATTACTAGTTAATAAATTAAAAATGGAATACATATTATTCTGCATTCATTCGTTTGATGCAGAGACAGAGCTAGAATTTCAAACTTAAGGTTCGAAATTTTAATCGCCTTAAGTTACTGAGTTCTAAATTAATAATATATAACAACAACAACAACAACCCAGTGTGGTCCCACAAGTGGGGTCTGGGGAGGGTAGGATGTACACAGCCTTACCCCTACCCTGGAAGGGCAGAGAGACTGTTTCCGATAGACCCTCGGCTAAAGAAGGTGAGAGAAGCCTTGGTAGCAAGTAATAGCAAAACAATAATTAGAAAACTAAATCGGAGATAGCAACAGAGAATATGAAAGAGGTACTGATACAAGTAGCAGCAAGATAACATATTTAGAAAACTAATTCCGAGGCAGCAAACTACAGAATTACCAATGGCAAGTAACAACGAAATGAGACATGCGAATATAGAAAACTAAGGAGAAAAAGGGTACCGAACTAGCCCTAATACTATCGAGCTAGAGAAGACAAAGGGAGATGCACGACTACCTACTAACCTTCTACCCTAATCTTCCACCTCCACACCCTTCTATCTAGAATCATGTCCTCGGTTATCTCAAGTAGCGCCATGTCCCGCCTGATCACCTCTCCCCAAGACTTCTTTGGCCTACCTCTACCCCTCCTCACACCTCCTAAAGCCAACCTCTCACATCTCCTGACAGGGGCATCTGCGCTTCTCCTCTTTACATGCCCGAACCACCTCAACCTTGCCTCACGCATCTTTGCCTCCACAGGGGTCACTCCCACCTTGTCTCGAATAACTTCATTCCTAATTCTATCCAACCTAGTATGCCCACACATCCATCTCAACATCCTCATTTCCGCTACCCTCATCTGCTGGACATGAGAGGTTTTGACTGGCCAACACTCAGCCCCATACAACATAGTCGGTCTCACAACTACCTTGTAGAACTTACCCTTAAGTCTCAACGGCACATTCTTATCACACAAGACACCGGAAGCGAGCCTCCAC